TTAGAAAACATACGAACTATATAAATAAATATAAGCTACGATTCCCTCGGGAACCGGACATTTTTCGGGGATGAACCTTATCCCATGTGTACTCCAGACTTTGTTTTATATCAGTGCCAAATTTAATAAGATATGTTGAACCGTTGCAGAATGATCGAGTAAACATTAAAAAACTAAATGAATCCCACGGGAACCGTAACTATTCCCGGGATAAAGTAGCCTATGTGTTCTTCCAGATTATGCTCTAAATCTGTGCCAAATTTCACGGAGATCCGTTCAGACGTTTAGGCTACAAACTCTAATAAACATCCATCCATCTAAACTTTCGCATTTATAATATTAGTAAGATATGATTTCCTTTGTATATGAGCGTGATGGTCGCTGTGACAGTTGCAATTTAGATTTTTAAATTAGACATAACAGGATGATATGTCCTTGAGATTAATATTTAAAAATACATACAACTTCCGGTACGGGTATGATAAACGGGACATTTTTTGTTACAAGTGTATAGGAAAGCTTATGGAGTAGCTAATTTATGTGTTAAATGCGAATGAAGGACGTTAACGACACGAGGATGTTAACTGGAGTTATGGATTATGTTTTACTAGCTGTTGCTCGCGTCTATATCCGAGAAATAAAAATTATAGTAGCCTATATTACTAAATGGTAACATACCATAGCTATTTATTGGTGAGAGAATTTTTGAAATCGGCCTAGTAGTTTTTGGGATATTTCTTAAAATGTGTTTATTAATTAAATAGAACGTCGGAGGGTCAATGGTTTAAGCACTTGACTTGTAATCTACAGGTCTTGGGTTCGAATCCCGCCGTGTACCAATGTGACTTTCGATTTTTCGAATTTTCATACGTACATAATTTACCCGACGTTCTTACGGTGAAGGAAAACATCGTGATGTAATCTGCACATATTGGTATAGAAATTCAAAGATATGTGTGAAGTCGACCAACCTGCAGTGGCCCAGCGTGGTTGACTATGGCCTAATCACCCTAATTTAGGGTAGGCTCCGAGCCCCTCGGTGGGGACATATAGTGAGCTGGTGATGATGATGACATAAAAACAAATCTTTCCTCTTTACAATATAAGTATAGACAAGTAGAGTGTGCTCTGGATTTTAACAAAATTCGTTTCACTTAGGTTCGTTATTGTCGGGCAAGTGTTTAATATGTTTAATGATTTATAACTATTTTTGATCGGTCTAATCAGCTAGAGAAGTTTTCAAACTGAGGTTAGCACCTAATTACTGTATACTCATTTTAATACGAAATTAAAATGTTATACTTAGGGGGATAATGGACTACAAATCTTGGTGACATGCAAAAACTAGATGTCTACGCGTATCAGAATTCTAAATGAGGTCCTCGGTTTATACAAACGAATCTTCACTCATATCTTGATCTAATATCACTTGTTTTCCACGCCGCACCTCAGTTTGATGTATGAGTCATTAGCGTTAATTAAAAGTTTCAGTGTAAAGTGCGTGAAATGGCCGGCGCGTGTTTATATTGTAACAATGTAACAGTTGCTCTACATTTGACTATATTAAGATTTCGCTGAAGTACTTATAGTCGGAAGGTATAGAAGGGTATATTTGAGTTTTCCGACTAGAATTCAATTGTAATAGGATTTGTGTCTCTTTCATTCTTATCGATAAAATAGAGATAACAATATGAAAATACAAGCGTAACGCAAAGTAAAATCGGTTAGGTACAATCGGGGAATCTGACGTTGTGAATGTTTTGTACATACTGAAACGAAAATAACCGACAATCCAGTGTTGCATCAGCACGGTACTAATTTTCTTATTAACAGTATGGAAAAAAAAAACAGCGTGCGATAAGTATGTTTTTTTTGACACGAGTAGCATTTCGAAGAATATGTAATAAAACATAGAGATTAAGATCCCCCTATCAATGCAGATAAAAGTGTTGACTTTTTATTTAAGTTAATTACATTATTTAGTACATTTTAAAAGCATCATTTGTTTATGTTTTGTGGTAATGATATTTAGGTCAATCGTTGTATGGGTCGCGGCCATATTTACCCCGGGTCGGCCGCTATCATTCGCTCACTGATATGCTTGGCAAATATGTTATATTTAAAAAAAATATTTAATTTAACGTGCCTCGTAAACGATGTAATTAATATGATAAAATGTATTAATTTATATTTTACTCTTATCTAAATTGGTAAAATCATATCGTGTTTAGTTTTGATGTCAACGCCATCTAGTTGTTTAAAAGTGCGATAGTATTTACAAGATATTAAATTTCTATTTGCTTTCAGATAAATAGCACTGTAATTCAAGAGTTTTAACAGTAATTTAAAAGAAAGTAAATATTGTTAGTATTAGAAATACGAAAGTTTAGATGGATGTTTGTTAAAGTTTGTCGCTTGATCGATTATACGGATCTCGATGTAATTTGGCTTAGATGCCAGGAACTTAGATGGCTTAGATGTTTCTGAAAGAACACATAGGCTTCTTTTGTTTTTTTTTTATTCTACGTGGACAATTCGCTGGCGGAAGCTACTATACATAATAGAAGAATTCACATCAGTTTGTTGCATTTAAAGGAGAAATGAAAGTGTCCTCAGTACTCAGTATCCATTTCATACATTAAATCTATATTGATTAAAACACATTGGTATCGTCTATCTTATCTTGAAAAGGTACTCCATACTGTAAAATGTCATACAATGTTATATTAATATATTGTTACGACGCTTACTGCAAATGCTAAAAGAGAAACAAGGAAAATGAGTTCTAAAATTTGGTCGTAATTATTATTTTAATATTCACAGAATTAATTTATCTGTAATATGCAGTCTTGATAAGGTTGTTTTTGAATCTTATCAGCTCTTATCTTATTTATGTAATGTTTTGTTTTTGCATTCAATCTTTTGTCTCTATTTACAAAAAAAATAACTGTGGTCTAGTCTAAATTCAGGATTTACTTGGAATTGAACCAAACTGTTCGTAAATTTATGTTATAACCTACGAATTTCTTTTTCTCTCTCTCTGCCTTTATGAAAAGTCTAGATTGGTTTTACAATTCGAATACACAACAATATCCAAAAAATATTAAACACTACTTCGTAAATGAAGTGTAGTCGTGGCATTATTTAAATGGCGTTCCAGTATTCGGCTGTTAGTCAATATTCATCTATATCTTCAAAATTAAAGAAGGATCTATAGATTTGTCTGTCATGACCTTTAAGCATGATTTGTTTAACTGTTTACTGAATTTTACCAGTTTTTTAGCTTATTATTTACTCAATAATTAAGTACCATCAATTTTAAAAACCAAGGTCAACAAGTTATAGCAATACGAAAGTACTCAAAAAATATTTAAGACCTTATTACCATAGCAGAAGTGTGTAATTACAATGTGATAGAATGTACATACATGTACTGCAAAATATGGTGATGAATATTTTGCATTGTAATTTAAACCTTATGTGATGGTATTGTATGTTAATTTCGTTTGTCTTTCTACCGTGTTATATAATTTGAATTATTCGTACTAATACATAAATGTACATGTTCAAATCCATTCAATTGTGTTTTTGATAATGTTTTCGTGATCACGAGATATAAAACAAGATGTTAGATTTATAGATTACGAACTTATTTAATTAATTCATGTACTTCTATTTCTTAAAGCATATAATATTGCTCACTTCATTTTCTGATGTCACTTGTAATACTATTTATTTTAATTTTTTAAATGCAATAGTTTAGATGGATGTTTTTTAGAGTTTGTAGCCTAAACTGAACGGGTCTCCATGAAATTTATAAATGTAGAGCATAGTCTGGAAAAACACATAGGCTACTTACTTTTGGTTTCTAATTTCACGTGGACGGAGTCGCGGGCAAAAGCTGCTGATATTATAAATGCGAAAGTTTACATGGATGGATGTTTGTTAGAGTTTGTAGCCAAAATTGCTGAACGGTCTTGATGAAATTTGGCATAGATGTAGAGCATAGTCTGGAAAAACACATAGGCTACCTACTTTGGTTATTTTATTAAAAAATGTGTTAGTCGATATATGTAATTGATAATTCAAGACACACAGAGTGTTTAATTTATCAGACAGAATAAATTTTATGTAAGACCACAAATTTAAATATAATAGAAATTATTATTCGGTGTTCTATCAATTGGTCTGTAATTACAATACAATAGGTATACGTTTAAGCAATCGCTTATATTGTGTATTAACTTTGTCTTGACTATATTGGGCGCATAGTTACGAAAATCTGTTTGACGTCTCTAAAAATAGTAAAAGAAATAGGGAATGATGGACACTTTTTAAAATACATCTTAATTAGAAATAACGTGCCTCCCGACTGCCCAACTCTCCCCTATATACTCTATTGTCTTGCGTCCCCCCATACCTTTTGTACGCCTGGGTTTAAAAGTCGATGCGTATTTGCTTAACCAGTAATATAAAATCGTCATATTGCGTAAAATTGTTAAACTACGAGTATTTTGCACACGTAACAAGGTGAAACAAGACGATTGGAGGGATTCTAGGCGAGGATTTCTATATTTTTATTTATCACTATAATTATATTATGTCCCGTAGTTGTTTCCATCATACTGTACACGCTTTTATTCCAATTAACGCTAAAAAATGTTTTTTTTTTCTCTCTTTAAAACACCTTTTCTCCTGAGTTCATTTCACTTTTACCATTTATTTATATTGTTTTTAGTACCCGAAGTTAGAGTTGCAGAACGTCACTACTATTATATTTCACTAGTTCTTGCTCGCGACTTCGTCCGCGTGAAATAAAAAAATATAATAAAAAACATAGCCTATGTTAGCCAGTGATAATGTAGCTTTTAATAGGTGAAAGAAAGAGATCGGCCCAGTAGTTTTCGAGTTATACATACAAAAATACAAATCTCTCCTCTTTATAATATTACAGATTTACTTCTCCCCAGATTTCATGACTTATGTACATATATTTTCAGGAGGTTGCGTCGGCGCATAAGATGCGCTCGATCCTAGCGTACTACGCGGACGTGATGTCGGCGGCGGCGCGCGGCGCGGGCTGCGCGCTCGGCTGCAGCGGTCGAGGGGACTGCATGAATGGTACCTGCTTGTGCGAGATACGGTACGCGGGTGATGAGTGCGCTGGACCAAATCTGCCGTACCACGCATGTGAGTATTGGTACACAAGAAAGGGACTCCTCTCTTCCCTTTTATCATTCATGTAGCTGTAGGAAGCGTCGTTAGCTTTTATATGATTTAGTCTTTACTTTTACCTAATTTTAAAGGTATTTCAAAACTATTTAAAACCTATTGATAGAAACGAAAACGAAATAAACTCGGATAATTTCAATGTTTGTATTTCAATTTAAATTAAAATCCTAAATTGTTTGGACATATTATTAAAATGGATATATTGCTCGTAGTCAACTTATTCTGCTCTTATTTCTAGTTAACGAAATTGCCAATAAGTGTTAAATACAATAATAATGTTTGTTATATTTACTGTTAAGTTTATATTTATAATAAAAGATGGAGCTTATTGAAATTTTGTAAAATTTTTAAGACGTCAATACATGAGGAGGCGTTTTTTAGAAATTTTTTTACTAAATTCGAGAACTAAGATAGTACCTTTCAAAGAAGTTACCGGTGCAAAAATGTTGTTCGCTATGTCTAGTATATTTTTAAATGTCTATTCTGTGTGTGCACTAAATATCTAAAAGTCCGTTTGCTCTATACATTCTTAATTCTAACCCTAGAATAGTAGAACTTTATTCCTGTCTTCCATTTGCAGGTATCGGCGGTGTGTTCCTATTGGTGGCGTTCGTCTGCGCGGTGCAGCTGACGATATGCGTGGTGACGGAATACCGCCGGCTTAAGGCACCCACCTTCCTCCGCGCCTGCAAGGTCACCACGCAGAAGATGCTCTACCTCGTCGCATTCCTCGCGTCCCTCATACGCGGAGCTTACTTTGTGTCGCCGGTGAGTTTATCTATACTTCTATACTGATATTATAAATGCAAAAGTTTAGATGGATGGATATTTGTTAGAGAAATTTGGTATGTGTAGAGAATAGTCTGGAAGAACACAGAGGCTACTCACTTTTGTTTTTGTTTAATTCAACGCTGACGGGGTCACGCGCAAAAGCTAGTACTTCTATATTTGTATACTTATTAGCTTTTGTGCTCTTTTAACTTCGTGCGCGTGGAATTAGAAAAAAACAAAAGTAGCATATGTGTTCTTCCAGACTATCCCCTACATCTATGCCAAATTTCATCGAAATCCGTTCAGCCGTTTAGGCTACAAACTCTAACAAACATCTGTTATTTTGAGGAGGCTGGTTTTTAATTAGTGTTTTTACCCTGAGTGATATAGTCTCATGGATTTTGTGTAATTTTCCCTTTTAATAAATGATTAAACTGTGAATTTTCTCTTTTTAATGGATGGTTTGCTGTATAATATTCCCCTTAAAAGAACGGTTTACTGTGTTAATTTCCCTTTTGAATCTTCGATATTTCTTATTGCGAAATTCCTGGAATTGTTTTTTTTTTAATTTTTAAAAGTGTTATTTTGTGTATTTTAAGTATGAATTTAATTTGTGTTCCAGTCAGCGTTCCAAGAGGGCTGGGCGACGAGTCTTCTATCCGCGTATTATCCTCTTCTCATGTCGGGTTCTTCCCTCATTGTTTGCTTCTGGGCTGAGGTAAGTTTTTTTTAAACTATAAGACGTTTTCTCAGAGTATCTGGTATTTTAAGTTAAGCTCCATCTAGCGGCCGACAAGCAAACTATTACGTGTGATATGTTAAGAATAGTGTTAAACGGGGAACACAGATGGCGTTAGTACTTGTATATATTTTGTTGTTGTTTGTAAAACTTTCGTTTCCTCCGTCATTATTTTTGTCAACTGTGTAATTAAGTGTATGATGTTTGCCTTCTGAATGGATTAAATGACTTATTATTATTATTATTATTACTTGATTTCCTGAATTAATTAAAATAACTACAATATTGACTTGCACTTGTTAGGACTAAATTCCTAATATTAGCTTGTAAAGTTAATTACTTTAAGTTAAGTTAAAGTGACTTAAAAGGAAGTCCCTACATCTGATTAACTTGTATAATCTATTGTTACATCAATAAATCATTTTCATTTTCATTTTCAAAGTTAGTTCCACTTTTCATTTATCTAAAATGTAACACACATTTCAGTCCTAATGATAAATGAAATCTGTATTAATATTGTAAAGGGTAAAGATTTGTACTTTTCATTCTTTCACTAATAAAAAGCTACATAATCAGTGACTAATATAGGATATATATATTTTTTTTATTCCATGTGGAAGAATTTTCAAGCAAGTGTCATAGAGTCATACTTTATGAACGCGAAAATTTGGATGGATGGATGTTTGTTATATCTTATCTCCAAAAAAGCTTAATATTTCTTACAGTTGGAGAGAAAAACAAAAAAATATGCTTTGGTGAAATTAACCGTATCCGTTATGCTTGAATTAACATTATTCAATAAAAACGGTTAATATTAACAACTAGCTGTTGCTCCCGACTACGTCCGTGTGGAATTAAAAAATATAGCCTTTGTTACTGCCGTAGCTTTTAATGGTGAAAGATTTTTTTAAATCTGCCCAGTAGTTCTTAAGTTATTTCAATACATACAAAAATATAAATCTTTCCTCTTTATAATATTAGTATATATTTAAACATCAGAGTATATTAATCTGTGTTAGTATGGACGAACAGATAAACATATGAAAAAACTTATACCGAGAATTGCATATTGTTTTTTTTATATTCGCAGTCTGAGGCAGACCGTAATAAAAGGAATGCATATTTTAACTCAGAAATAACTGTATGTAATATACAGGGTTCTGTATTGGATATAGGGTTGCCAACTCACACTTTTGTATATTATACTAGTTGTTGCTCGCGACTTTGTCGGCGCGAGATACCAAAACAATCCTTTGTTGCTCACTAACACCTTTTTATAATTGTGTAGTAGTTTTTAAATTCGGCCGAGTAGTTTTTGAGTTATTTCAATACATACAAAAATAGAAGTATAGATTGTGACTGTTTGTAGCCTATAGATGTTTACTAAGGCGGTTAAGACTAGTGTGATTATTTAATTTTTCCTTTAATTGTGATATACTGAGTGTGTTTTGTTTTTTATAATTAATTCACTTTTTTCGTCCGCTAAGGGTCAACGTTTTACGTCTTCAGGTATTTTTGGCAACCCTAGCTGTACCGGTTTTGCTTAGGGTCGGTGCACCGTTCGCGGCAGCTTAGACTGAAATACCGATATAATATTGAATTATATAAAAATATCACAAAGATAATTTCTATACATATGGGCTTTTTTTTAAATACTGTTACTAATGTGTAGATAAAAGTAGAAAAAAAAATGAATTCGTGTTGAATAATCACCTATTAATTATTACTTCTTTTGTGTAGATTCAGTGTAAAAATCTACACTAAGTTAATAAATCTGAGTACAAATAGTAAGGGAGCTGCGTAAGTAACCTTTAAAGGACTCTGAGAGTGGGAGTGTAAGATAACAGATAAATACTGAAACGATATGACGAATTCTGAAATATGTAACAGCGTCTTAAATGATAATTCCAGGCTTAAATTCCAATCGTAGTAAAACCCTAGTTATTATTTATATTTATTTATTAATTTATTTATTTAAAAAAATGCATTAAATCTTTGACGTCTGTCACATTGAAAGCGCTTACTAAGCGAATTGTGTATGTTTCGTTTCAGTATTCGGCCATTATTCCCATGCACGTAATGAAATTACCTCAGTAATGTCGTGTCTGTCATATCATTACGTCGTTTATACACTAATATTTGTATCAACACTCATTCACTGTTAACACAACATTGTTGTTGACAGGCTAATGCACGTCATTAACGTTGTATAGTCTAAGAGCCAAGCACTTGAAGTTTACATTATAATTACAAGTTGGAATAAACGTGGCTGTAAAATATTGACGAGGATAGATGGATTATAAAGGTTATATAACATTTTTAAGTCATCTTTGACCACCTTTGTGTTCCCGCCGCGCGTTTGCCCCCTTCTCATATAAAAAAAATAAAAAAAAATCTTTGCCAAAAACCAGATTGAGTCTTATGATAATATCCTAATGCATTTATGCATATTATTATAGACGTTTATTTAGTAGTAATTTTGGGCTATTTGTAATCATAATCAACGGAATTACTAAATAAATTCATGTGAAAACAAGTTACAAGCCGTTTTAATCTTACTAATATTTTTAATTGGAAAGTTTAAAATAAATATATGGATGGATGTTTATTAGAGTTTGTTGACTGAACTGCAGATCTCGATGAAATCCGGCTTAGATGTAGACGATAGTCTGAACACATAGGCTATTTTTTTAAACCCACACGGACGGAGTCGCGGTCTAAAGCTAGTCTATACCAATATTATAAAGAGGAAAGATTTGTATTTTTGTATGTATTAAAATAACTCAAAAACTACTGAACCAATTTTAAGAATCCTTTCAAAAGCTACGTTAGAAATGAGTAACATAGGCTGTATTTTTTCTTATTTTACAAATGCACGCGGGCGAAGTCGCGAGAAACAACTAGTCTATACTGATATTATAAAGAGGAAAATTTTTTTTCACGCAGGCGAATTCGCGAGCAGCAGCTAGTAATAGACATAGTACTTACCTTTACTAGCTCTTGCACTATTTTCCATATAAGGAGTTATAGTACATGTGCATACCTAGTATGCCGTTAGCATTCACCCAGTTTATCCAAACATACGTGATCTGATTGTGTCATTGATACCTTATGTAATATATTGCCAAATTAGTATGTAAATAACTTGACCCTGACAAAGTACGGAATACCTAATCAATGGCGATCTTTATAGTTTTTTAAACGAAGTAACTATCATCATTTCTATACTAATATTATAAAGAGAAATAACTCAAAAACTACTAGGCAGATTTCAAAAATTCTTTCACCATTAAAAAGCTACGTTGTCAGTGTGTAACATAGGCTATGTTTTGTATTTTTTGTTTCACGTGGACGGAGTCACAGGCGAAAGCTAGTAATATATAAATTTGTATATCTTGTATGAAAAGTTGAGCAATTGTTATATTTTCTTTTGGTTCAGAAGCCCCCCTTGATATTTGAAAGTGTACAATGAAAAATATAATTCTAAATAGTAAGGTGCAACGATACCTAGAGATCCACATATATACTTCAAAAACGCCTTGTTTTACGTAAAAATATTGTTCATTAAAAACATTTAAAAATGTTGATTACTAGCTGTTGCTCGCAACTACGTACACTTGAAATATTATAAAAAAAATGTAGCTTATGTTACTCATATATGAATTACATTTCTAATGGTGAAAGAATTTTTGAATTCGGCCCACTAGTTTTTGACTTATTTCAATACATACAAAAATCCATTTTTTTTCTTTTTATTATACTAGTTTCCGCTCGCTACTCCATCCTCGTGGAATTAAAAAAAAACTTCCAGATTATCTTCATTCACGCCATTAAAATTTCATGGAGATCTGTTCAGCCGTTTAGGCTACAAACTAACAAACATCCATCCATCCGAACTTTCACATTTCTAACATTAGTGAGATTGGTACAGACGAGGCTTCCCTTGATCATCTCCCACAAAGCTGGAGACGCCCATGTCACTTCATTACCGCTTTGTGGGAAAATCTATGTGTATTTTACACCATCCTTTATTCTGCATCCTTGTTTTCATATTGTAATATCAACACATTTGTGCCGTGAGAAAGTTTATGATGAGGAGGTTAACTCGTGTTTTTATAAATGTTTTATTACAATAACATATAGGAAGGTTGAGATCGTGTAAAAACGATAATAAGAATAATATTAAAACACTGAGGTGCTTGGAGCCTATCCTTAGGAGTGGTTTGGTCTGATGGCCCACTGCAGGTTGACTTTACATATCTTTAAATATCTCTGCAGATATGTGCAGGCATCACATTGTTTTCCTTTACAGTAAGCACGTCGGATAAAAATACAAATTAAATTCGCAAATCCAAAATCACATTGGTACATGGATTCGAACCTTTTAACAACTGCGCTCAATTGCTACATTGTCGTTCGTGAATAGAGCAAAAAACTTTTCTAAATTAACTTTCGCCCGCGACTCAATTAAAAAAAAAAGTAAATAGCCTATGTTTTCTTCCAGACTATCTACATCTATGCCAAATTTAATCGAGATCCGTTCAGCTGTTTAGGATACAAAACTAACAAATATCTATCTATCCATCTAGCATTTATAATATTAGTGAGGTAGTGAGATAGTAAGATTTTGATTTTAAATAGATTTAAAAAGCACCCGATAGATATAGAAACTAATAAAAATGTTTTCTCTTTAATATTTGTGTGGACTTGACAATAACTTTTTAAACTATGATCGAAATTGAATTTATATAAATGTTCGTATTGTTAAACAAAACTCAATTACATCCCATTATTATCTAGAGCTCGTCACAAAGACAACTTATTTTTAACACTAATGACTTACACGCATTATATCCTCTTTATGTGCAGTAGATAAACTGTTCCTTATGTATAATGCTATTCAAACTTTATGATGCCTCGCAATTATACGAGACGTACCACACGAAAGATAAGTATGAAAGGAATGTAAAGGAAAATAA